ATCGCCCTGATGACGGAGGCAGTATGACCTCTGAAACGTTGGTTAACATCGACCAGTCTACATAGTGCAACAACCCAGAAGACAGAAATCTTTATACTCACCGCTGTGAAAACCTCAAATCTTACAATATTGAAGTTAATCATACAAAAAAGTGAGCATAAATTATCTCAAACTGTCTCAAGACAATATTCAATCATAAGACAATGAATGTTCGGATTTCATAAAACACGGAAAATGTCTGACTGAGCGACTAATAGCTTCTCAAGAAGTAATTTATCTGTCTTATGAAGCAAGTTAGTTTTAGATAGGCGATTCCATGGAACAGAGTCCTTCTTGAGAAGCTAGTCAAGAAATTCCACAAATTTTACACATCAGACATATTACACAGGAGATAATATATTCTGAACTGAATACTAGTAAAACGAGTGATGTGAAACGATGGTAAATCGATAGATAAATTCACGTCGATTGACATGAATAACTGGCGCGGTGCTAAAATATGAGTCCTTAGAGCATTTTATGAAACCAGGCTTGCTATATTATCCAATCTTCATCAATCATGTTATTTCGACAATTACGATAATGCAGCGCCATCATTCATAGGTTTAGTCAAAATTTGATGTCATACCTTAAACTATCATTTGAATATCAATGTTAACATTTCATAGCTTTGGGTGAAATCAACACGAGAGTACAGTTCAGCTTCTTTGACGTGGCCGCTGTTTCTACGATGCGTCGCAAATTTGGGCGAGTCTTGTAACATTGGTGAAGACGTAAAGGGTGTGTGTGGGTTAGTTCAGCTACAACTTAATTACCTTACCACACCTAGAATTTTAACTTCCATCATTATTCACCTCACGCACTACTCAGCGGTCACGACGAAAAAATTCAACTGTAAAATACTTCAATCTGACATTACTGTACTGTTACTGTGGTCCCACTATAACGTGCTGAAAGCATCTTTCTGCAGACATAGTGTGTTTTTGCGAGATTAAAAGTTGTCAGTGGAACCACGGTTCTGGAGAATTTGACGTAAATACGTCTATACGGAAAGGAAGTTTATATATTGGCTTTATTCTAAATATTTCCTTCATACAAGCTTAACAATTGAGATAAGTTTGATTAAGACTTTGCTTATTCAACTTGAATTAGTTACGCTTAAGATGGCTCTGTGGTAGCTGAATGCAATGTAAAGTAATGTAATGTAATGTAACGTTTCCTAGGTAACCAGGTTACACTTTTTCGTATTTACGTCAATAACCAACACGAATATGTTAGAACATGGTGTAGTACGGACTCATTAGTACACAAAAACAACAAAAAACAACATGTTGTAGCTACTACACGTTCACATAACATCTTCAAACTTCATTTTAAATTCCGCGCGTAATCCGAAAACTTCCTGGTACCAGAAGATAGGCATAAAACCGAAGTGCATTTAAATAATATTTAAATATTCAGTCGATGCCGCAAAGAGAACACAACATTTCACCATTAGAAAAATCAAATGGCTAATGCTTCTTAGAAACATAGACGTTGATTACGCTGAGAATCATATTGTACCATCAATACACTCTGTGGCCAAACTGTAAATTTGCTAAATGTTAAAGTAAGTGGTGCACATACATACCCCTGGGCTTTAAGGGGCAAAAACCTCTCCTACTCGAGGAAAACTTCTCTTCGATTTGCGCGGCTTCCGCACTGCTAAACGCGTTGTGATGAAACTGTTGCTTCTCGGCCAGTGTTTTGTTTTGCGAACAAACAGGCGAGCGCACGTATAATGGATCACAAGTGAAGAGGCTTTCAAATGACAACTTACATTACGACGTCGCAGGAAGTTTAAACATACAAGAATAATCTGACGTGGATTAACCACGAAGCAAAACACACAACTACATTCTTCTCCACAATCTTACACTCACCTTACGAGTACAGTTTTACTGACGTGATAATTAACAACTATATTATGTGACCACCGACCAAACAAGCAAAAGGATTCTTCAACCAACCAATTAACTGGTTAACTAATTTTCTAAATAAAAATAACCAATTAACCAATTGTGAGAAGAATAAGTAACTAGCTATGCAACTAATTACCTGACATACAAAGACGTATCCTGTAGAGAAAGTTTTGCTTTCGAATCCAGCTTGAGATTTCATGAATGCACTTAGGTTAACGCAAATCCGAACTATATAGGTCTATATTCTGGATAGCAGTTTTCGTTTCAATACCACTTCAGTCAGCTTGATTGCATTCTTCGTCAATTATCTTCTCATCCTATATAACCCGCTCATGACTTGATTTTAATGAATCTATCTGTGTTGAGATAATGCAAATTCGGAGGCTGATCGTTTCTAATTATGAGATAGTCCAATGCACATTTCAGCACGTGGTTATTAACATGCAAGGAAGCTGAGGTTAACTTCCTACCTTAATGTCTGTGTGATACGGTTGTATCCTTGTTCTATCTTCTTTAACGTATGCGAATCCGATATTCAAATAGGCCCTCAGGCTGTCTCAGCTGTTACAGCACATGAAAGGTTGTGGAATATTTTATTTTTAATGTGGCTATAATGAATTTTTGTTTGAAAAGTGCTCTAGGCAACTTTATAAAAAACACTGGCGAGAAGTAAAAATGAATGGATCTCAACTTATGTTGTTTTTAATTCTGTTGTGGAATGTGCCATCAAGAAAGTAAAAAAAATTGAATAGCTGAAATTTAATGATATGAAAAGGGAGCTGTTTCCTTAAAAATGTAGTGAATTATTTTTAGTTAACATATTGTAAATTAGGAATGTAGAGAATTGAATGTAGTTAGAAGTAAGTATAGTAGACCTTTGCATGTAGGAATGTGTTGATTCATTTCCTGTCTAGAGTAAAGCAGCAAGGCTAGTTCACCTTATTCTCAGGTGATGAGAAAAACATTAAACGGAAATGCAGACGTAGCCATTAGGAGTCGGCAGAAATATGGGAAAACGCTAACCGAAAGGTTGTGAAAGGAAGTTGAAGAGAGATCTAGACAGAAGGGCCAAAACTTCGAAGATAGCAGGAGGTTACGAGAGTCATGATGGGCAACGTGCAGCTGATCGGGCTACTTCTAACAGGTAAGCGCTGAGGAGATGAATTCAAGTCTAGTACGGGTGGATTAATAGATATTCAAAATTACGGAATTAGAGTGTACTAAGGATAAAGTGAATTAGCCTAAATTAAGAAGGAAATGTTTTAAATTAAATGTGAAATTCATGTAGAACTTAGTGTTAGAAATAAATGTGATAGTATTATGAAACAAGTTGTAGCCTCATGGACGTATTATCTATCATATTAGATGAGCATGTTTAAGCTGACACCAGCCTCCTTGGGAACTTGCCTTGCTTCATGCCAAGCCACACTACCACATTAGTAAGACTAATCCAAACGAATTTATACAAAGAAGAACGTTAATTTGCGTTGGAGAAAATAAGTACCATAAAAAATAATTTTCCTGTGCCTAACAAATGTAAATGAAGACGGTAATACAATCAGGATAGCAATATATTCTCCAAATATTTATTATTATTTAGTTTGAATACTGTTGTTATAACATTTACTTTCCAAAATTCGAATACAAACCAATTATTTTTGCAGATATTTTGTATGGGTTCGAAACTTTGTCTCTTACCTTAAAGAATGAATGTACACAGAAAATAACTTTACCATAAGCAGACTGCAGTAAGTGGATAACGTAGAGGATATAAGACTTTGCGAGATTTGAGGTTTTCAGGGCGGTGAAGATGTTGATGCTGGTAACTTGGGTTGTGAGACCACGTAGATTCGTAGGTCCAAACACTGTCCTCTTGTTTTAGGGTTTTAAATAGTGGACTGGGAGATAAAGTTTACCGATTCTGTAGGCTGGATGGCCTATTTAGATATAAATCCCGCATCAAGATAGAAACTTCTGTAATCCACAACGTGAAGGTACGATTAATGGCGTAGCTTAAGAATAAGCGGCTCTTCGGAAGGACAGCGCTGGCCATAAACACGTAGACTCAGTAGCTCGACATAAATCCTGCAACCATTATAGAAACTGCTGGAATTTGTAAAGGACTTAGGACTGACAGTTTACTGGAGAAATGATGAAAAGAATGTGATTTACTGCGAGGATAACGTGTGAAGTCACCTCCAAAACGTCGTTTTCACATTCCCCCGCGTTATGAGACTAGGTAACTTTGTCGGCTAAGCAACAGTCTTGACAATTGAATTTAGATTCGCGATAACGGCAAAGTCGTTTGTCTTCGATGTTTCATCCAGACTCATGGACCGCCCCATATCCTATCTAATGCGTGCCGAATTCTATTTCGCAGTGAGCAAATCTGCTTAATTGAACATCGCTGTCGAGTGGTTGGCACTCCTGCTTCGTATTCCGTATTCCCCATGTTCGAATATCGTCCCGGAGGCTGGCTAACTGAATAAGGATAATCCTGGTTTTTCTTGGTCCCTCCAGACCACCTCCTGGTGATGTTCTTCTGGGTTTCGACACCTACCGACAAATCTACAGGGCGCCAAAAACCAGACAAGTATCATCAACCTCACCGCCGTAAAAAAATCAAAATCACAAAGCACTTCATAATTCATCATCCACATATCCCACCGTTCAAAGCTACTTGACATATGCAATTGAGAAGGCGAAGTTAAATACGTAAAGCTGCTGTAGTGTGACGCTGTGACAGAAATCGAAGTCGAGTTTCAAGGTCAAGAACGTGTGGAGCTTGACCTCCAGGTTTTTAAGACTCGATGTTTGTGTCCCATATTTCCAAGCGATTGCCCTACGTGTTCTAAAGTTTAATAACGTGCTATTGAATTCTGCGCAGTTAACACACGTGCATGCTCTGTTTGCGTACTGCGTAAACGTGCGAAAATCACCGTAATCAGCAGCGTCGCAGCTCGATGGCTGTCATCGTGTTAACACGTTTTCTATTTCGTGCTGTTTGTTTCAAATAATTGGCACATTCAGTCACACACATCTGAATGGATTTCATCTGACGCGGAAGAAGCCGCACTCCATCCACGTCGATTAGGCTATTACTGTCACAGTGAAGTTGATCAACAGTCCTGCGTCATGAGCTCAATTCCAGCTCTTGCGAATCTGGTGGCAGCTGAGCAGATAGGTTAGCGGAAATAGAAAGGTTGTGAAAGGAAGTTGAAGAGAGATCTAGACAGAAGGGCCAAAACTTCGAAGATAGCAGGAGGTTACGAGAGTCATGATGGGCAACGTGCAGCTGATCGGGCTACTTCTAACAGGTAAGCGCTGAGGAGATGAATTCAAGTCTAGTACGGGTGGATTAATAGATATTCAAAATTACGGAATTAGAGTGTACTAAGGATAAAGTGAATTAGCCTAAATTAAGAAGGAAATGTTTTAAATTAAATGTGAAATTCATGTAGAACTTAGTGTTAGAAATAAATGTGATAGTATTATGAAACAAGTTGTAGCCTCATGGACGTATTATCTATCATATTAGATGAGCATGTTTAAGCTGACACCAGCCTCCTTGGGAACTTGCCTTGCTTCATGCCAAGCCACACTACCACATTAGTAAGACTAATCCAAACGAATTTATACAAAGAAGAACGTTAATTTGCGTTGGAGAAAATAAGTACCATAAAAAATAATTTTCCTGTGCCTAACAAATGTAAATGAAGACGGTAATACAATCAGGATAGCAATATATTCTCCAAATATTTATTATTATTTAGTTTGAATACTGTTGTTATAACATTTACTTTCCAAAATTCGAATACAAACCAATTATTTTTGCAGATATTTTGTATGGGTTCGAAACTTTGTCTCTTACCTTAAAGAATGAATGTACACAGAAAATAACTTTACCATAAGCAGACTGCAGTAAGTGGATAACGTAGAGGATATAAGACTTTGCGAGATTTGAGGTTTTCAGGGCGGTGAAGATGTTGATGCTGGTAACTTGGGTTGTGAGACCACGTAGATTCGTAGGTCCAAACACTGTCCTCTTGTTTTAGGGTTTTAAATAGTGGACTGGGAGATAAAGTTTACCGATTCTGTAGGCTGGATGGCCTATTTAGATATAAATCCCGCATCAAGATAGAAACTTCTGTAATCCACAACGTGAAGGTACGATTAATGGCGTAGCTTAAGAATAAGCGGCTCTTCGGAAGGACAGCGCTGGCCATAAACACGTAGACTCAGTAGCTCGACATAAATCCTGCAACCATTATAGAAACTGCTGGAATTTGTAAAGGACTTAGGACTGACAGTTTACTGGAGAAATGATGAAAAGAATGTGATTTACTGCGAGGATAACGTGTGAAGTCACCTCCAAAACGTCGTTTTCACATTCCCCCGCGTTATGAGACTAGGTAACTTTGTCGGCTAAGCAACAGTCTTGACAATTGAATTTAGATTCGCGATAACGGCAAAGTCGTTTGTCTTCGATGTTTCATCCAGACTCATGGACCGCCCCATATCCTATCTAATGCGTGCCGAATTCTATTTCGCAGTGAGCAAATCTGCTTAATTGAACATCGCTGTCGAGTGGTTGGCACTCCTGCTTCGTATTCCGTATTCCCCATGTTCGAATATCGTCCCGGAGGCTGGCTAACTGAATAAGGATAATCCTGGTTTTTCTTGGTCCCTCCAGACCACCTCCTGGTGATGTTCTTCTGGGTTTCGACACCTACCGACAAATCTACAGGGCGCCAAAAACCAGACAAGTATCATCAACCTCACCGCCGTAAAAAAATCAAAATCACAAAGCACTTCATAATTCATCATCCACATATCCCACCGTTCAAAGCTACTTGACATATGCAATTGAGAAGGCGAAGTTAAATACGTAAAGCTGCTGTAGTGTGACGCTGTGACAGAAATCGAAGTCGAGTTTCAAGGTCAAGAACGTGTGGAGCTTGACCTCCAGGTTTTTAAGACTCGATGTTTGTGTCCCATATTTCCAAGCGATTGCCCTACGTGTTCTAAAGTTTAATAACGTGCTATTGAATTCTGCGCAGTTAACACACGTGCATGCTCTGTTTGCGTACTGCGTAAACGTGCGAAAATCACCGTAATCAGCAGCGTCGCAGCTCGATGGCTGTCATCGTGTTAACACGTTTTCTATTTCGTGCTGTTTGTTTCAAATAATTGGCACATTCAGTCACACACATCTGAATGGATTTCATCTGACGCGGAAGAAGCCGCACTCCATCCACGTCGATTAGGCTATTACTGTCACAGTGAAGTTGATCAACAGTCCTGCGTCATGAGCTCAATTCCAGCTCTTGCGAATCTGGTGGCAGCTGAGCAGATAGGTTAGCGGAAATATTTGGTTTTTTGATCTATTTAAGAAAGTTTGTCACTAAAGGAGTGTGACTGTGAATTGAGAAAGTCGTGTAAATAAGCTGCAATTGTTTTACCCTTTTAAAGTACAGTGGTAATTACACATAGGGGAGAAGGGGGCTATTTGTTACACGGGCAAGTTGTTATATTTTAGTTTAAAAATCACTCATTTGCAGCAGCATCTCACGAGTTTCGTATCAATTGCGTCTACCCTGTGCGCAGTTCTACCCTAGGTATGATACTTGTAGCTTGTGTATTACGTGGGCTAGGTTAATTTAAGCGTTCTTACCAGTAAAAAGTAAAAAAAACAAAACATTTTCTGACTTTGAACTCACTTCCACGACCGTGTGATAAAGGCAATTTCTTTAAAATTTCCTTACCTAAAGCTTTATATATTAAGAGCAATGAGTGTACTTCTTTCTTCACTTCAGTCGAATATTGACACTGCTTTGACCGTCAAATCAAACTGACTTACTGTGGGGCCAGTTGTTACACTGGACAAGGGGCAACTTGCGTTTGCAAATGATTACATTTTATTGTTTTATCAGGAAAGAAGGTACGAAAGTACAAAAGGAAGATTAACAGAGGTAATACAAGTTTGGAAACGCTTAAGTTAGCAGCTGATGAAGTCTCTTCTGGAAGAATCTCTTTAAGGCAAGCTGCTAATATATGATGCAAATGTTTCATATCTTTGAAGTTAATTTCTGCAATTTATTGTTAATTGATATATTGTCTGTAATTAATTACTTAATAAAGGTCAGAATTGTTCCTTCTGTTTACTAATACAATGTGTTGTAACAATTTTCCCCTTCACTGTAACAACTAACACCATAACAGGGCACATTGTTACAAACCGCCTTCTCTTAAATAAACAAGTTTTGTAATGAAACAAAAATGAATAGGCCTTTGAAAAAATGTTATTAATATAGCCGAATAGTATTAGTACCTGAAACCATAATTGCTAACTTTGTAAATTTTAAGAATAAATGCACAAAAAATCGTAATTGAAAATTGTTAGAACTAGCCCCCTTCTCCCCTCCTATTTGCTTTTCAGATGAAGCAAGCAGCTCTGAAACGTCGGTAAACTTCAGACAACACAGCGCAACAACCCAGAAGACTACCGTCTTCATATTCGCCACTATGAGAATCTGAAATCTCTCCGGCAAATAGATTGACTTTAAGTTAGCAGAAATGGTACTAACTTAACGGAGAAATCAATGAAATGAGCGACTCGAAATATTCGCGGACAGGAATGTGAAAGGACTTCACCTCACTAAATTTGGTTGTAACGACGCTTATGTAGAATTTCAGTAGCTATCGCGGGAAAAGACTACGATATTCTGTGAAACTATTAAGTTTTTTATGGCCTGTTCGGTTCATTTACTATTTTATTGTTCTAGCTTGGTCATATTCTTCGCAGCTTTGAATGTTCAGTGACGTCGATAAAACGACGGGGGTGTAGCTTCCGTTATCAGGTAGCAATTACGGCAAGATGTACGGACTGATGTGAGCCACAGTGTATAAAGCAGCCGATTGGGTCCAAGAAATGCCTACGGGCATTCATTAATATTGCATGGAAGTTAATTCTAGACGGCAGGAATTACCCTAGTATGTTCTGGATACAAAGAAAAGTGAGAATAATTTTATATACACGTTAGGAGAGCTTTAAACATTAAGTATGTAAATGAAATTAACATGGGAAGAAACAAAGATGCAAAGTACGGGAGTACTAGAGGAATAAATAGGAACAAATAAAATAAAGGAAAAATGAAAGAGGAAATAAAAGCATGGAAAAGAAGGGACAGAATTAAGGAAGAGCTCAAGATGGAAAAATAAAATAAACAGAATGAAGAAAGGAAGGGAAAAAATTGGACATTAGTAAGGGAAGAAATTGATTATGTTTTGAGAAGTAATGGCAAAAGTAAGTAGCTAAATGAAGGAGAAAGAGAAAAAATGGCAAAAGGCGGGAGGGGAGACAAAAAATTAATAGCCGAGGGAAAGAAGACGGGACGAGATTTAACGGGTTTCGTAGCCCCGCATTTATGCAGATGATCGGATCTGAATGATGAAGATAAGGCAGATCTTTCTCGCTAACCTCTCCTTCTCTAAACCCAAAAATCAATAAACTGGCAAGTTTACGTGAACTGCAGTTTTAGAATTCAGTGCCAGTTCGTGACGCCAGTCCCTGCTCAAGTGACTGATGGTTTCGCGATTGTGGTGAGAATTCTAGCCCCTAATTTCCACGTCTGCAGACAGCGATGCAATGTTATGAGCTGCCTCACAAATTGAGTCAGAAGATAAATTCGGAGTAATGTATTCTGGGCAGTTATTACATTGGCAATTTTTCTGCGCTCTCACACACAGCATTGCATGACTTCTTTGTGTGAAGGACGAACAAAGAAAAATGAATTGTATGCCTAAACTACGAGTGCATTATTCGATTCTATATAATATGAACTACTGGAAATGTCGTTGAATAAACTATGAACAGTAAATGAATAAATTAAGAAATATTAAAAACCTCAATACCTTTAATTTCCTACTTAATAAACGCAGGTCAGGATATTAAGAAGTCACAAACCAAATTCAATAAAAACTCGTTCATATTCAGCGCGGTTGGTCGATTCGTAGAGGCAGATGGACGGTTGACACAGCGAACGAATATTTACTAGAGCTCAAATGCTTTGCTCTGCCAGTTCCCTTATAACTCTGCTTCCTTTGTGATTCAGTGTACCACAAGAATCCCATTTGTGGAAACTTGTCTTTCTCACGAAAAGTGACAGTTCCCATTTAGAACACACTCTGAGGGTCCCTGCCCGATTACGGCAAAAATTTCAATTACGCTTCACTTTCATTATTTCATACTTCAACTATTTTATACGAAAATCAAAATAAGAAGTCGAATAACCCACCACCTTATGTTAAATACAGCCCCCCACTTGCAATATCCTACAAAAGAATTTTACTCGTTGTGCGAACCTATATCAACTGAAGTTCACTTCATCCCTGAACATGGAGACAGTATGTCTCTCCGAAACGGATAAGTCCACACGGTTTATAACTCGAAAGACAAACATCAACATTTTCATCGCCTTGAGAATCTCAGATGCTGACCATCTTATCCGTTGGTCCACGCAGAATGGTCTGCCCGTCCATCTGCTTAACCATCCACAAGATGTAGGTCTCCTCATGCATTGAATCCGTGCACCCAACTGTTATATTCCTATCAGAGATAAAAGCTGACGCCCCGCGTTATCCACTTTATGAAACTGTACTTCCTTTCGGAAACAGACCAGATGCAGCAAGGAACGGGCACAGTCCAGATGTTTTAATACATCGCTTCTCGTTTTCATTTATTTAAAGCCCTACGAGTAAACAGCGTAGTTTTGCGGGGAAAATAATGAAATTAGTTCACAATGGAGAAACCTTTACATTTCTTTCTACTAAAATAATACTTGAAGAAAGAGATATGTTTGATAGGTAGAGGTAGGACATTATGATAAACATTAATAGGCTTTACCCTAATGCAATAAATAAATAAATAACCGGTGACATAGAAATATTTAATGAACAGCAATTAAATATGTAAAAAGAACTAATTAAGAAAAATGAAACGAGATAAAAAAAACAGACAAACGAAGAAGCGATCAATAAAAGAGAGAACATAAAAAGTGTTTCAAAAGTTTCTTTTTATTACATGCACAGACTAGACAGTACTTTATATCATTGCTGTCCCATTTATTTGATCTCATCGTATCTTCTCGGTTCACATATGAGTTTTTCTTCTTGGTGATATTTTAAAACTTTCCGCTACCGAAAACGAGTCTTGGGTCCCTCCCCCCGCCCCAATTCTCTCACCCCTCACCCCTTCTTGCGCAGGCCAGAAATCACCATAAAATAACATTACAGGAGTATAAACTGGTCTCTGTAGATATTAAATGCCATAAACACAATAATCCAATATGAGTTTGTTTCTCAGAATAAATAGCGTCGCTACATAATCATAAATAAATGCAATATGAGTTTGTTTCTCAGAATAAATATCATCGCTACATAATCATAAGTAAATTTACCTCTAAAGATGCAGTTCCTAACGCCAAGTATGTATCGATGGGCTTACATGAATATAACATCTTACATTACATGCAAGAGAAACTAACTCCATAGAGAAAGTCCTCGAGAAGCAGATAGTGCGCTCAGCAAGTTAATAAATTCTCCGCCTTTCATGGAATTTAGAAGGTTCATTGCCGTGCTGACAAAAGCCCGTCACCGGTCTCTATCCTGAGCAAGAAGAACTCAACTTACACCCTAGACCGGATTTCCCTAAGCCCCAAGTTAATGTTAACCTCCCACTTATAACTAATCCTCTCAAGTGGTCTCATCTTTTCGGGCTTTCAAACTAAAATTTTGTATGGGTTTATCTTCTACCTCATGCGAGCTACGTGCGCCGCCTACATCCGAGACATTGCATACATTAAAATAGACCTATGTTACTTGTATTTTATTGAAACGCTTTTAATTTATTCGTCCTGTATGAATCGATTCTACAGACTAGTGATTAAATATTTGCTTACGAAACCAAACATTCATAACAGACGATTCTTTCAATCTGTACGATAAGCTCTTGGTTTCGTGTTTAGAAAATGTATCGAAAAAATCTTTTCAGTTTCAACCTTGCGTTTGTACGGCACTAAAGATTGAAATACTTCATCTTACATTGTCAGCAATCTGAGTTTAATTTTCATCAGTTCTTTTTTAAGTGCATTTTACAATATCTCATGCTGCATCAGCCCTCACCATTTGTCTACGTAAGCTCAATCGTGCTTCATGTACCACAGGGCTAACTATAGCGAACTTGATCAGTAATGAATATTGACACGCAAAGAAGTAACAAGGATTAAAATCACTCGGTACTAAATCGACAAATTTGAGGGGACTGAAGGATTGCATATTAGAATAAGAAGTTGTCACGGCGGTAGGTCTGAAGATGGCTGTCTTATGGGTTCTTTCGCCGTGTAGTCTGGTAGAAGTTTACCGACCTGATAATGAAGGCAACAAGGAGCTCCGAAACGTCGGCAAACTTCTAACAGACTACACGGCGCAACAAACCAGAAGACAGCCATCTTTGATTGCATATTATATTTTTATAATGTTTCTTATAATATTAACAATAATCCCATTATGTGTAACCTTCTTAACGTGTTTAGGGTAATTGATAAGAAATCAGTAAGGAAGAACACAAAGTAAAGACAAACCTAGAAGTACATATCGCTACAAGTAAACAACACGCTTATAAATTGTAACAATCTAACACTAATACTAATGTACACATTTGTTTTCAGCACACATAACTTCAGCAAAAGTATTCCTCAAACCCACAAAAAAGAAATTGTTCTAATGTTCTGCGGTTTAGAAGAAATTTTTTAACATGAATATAAGAGAATATCTACATCAGATTACATAGGGAATGCGAGTTACGTATTTAAAACGAAATTTAATGAACTTCTGTGACACACATGTAAAAACTGAGTCATAAGCTTTCTGAGTCAGGATGCTGCTCATTTTGAGTTTCACAGAAATATTTCATTCGGTTTGCATGACATTGGTGTCGCAAATTGAAACAGGTGGCAAAATTTCACATACTCGTAGATGCCGTGAAAGAAAGACGAAATTCGAGCTACATTCACATACAAAAGGATTGCCGTTGAGCAATGCTACTTTCGTACCGAACGGATGAGAATGCCGTCTGAGGAGGAGACTGACTGGAAGATTAAGATACGAATATAATCGATGTTTTTTAAACAGACGTTACATATACATTAATCCGCTTATCGCATCTATTGTGTGTCAGCCGCAGGATCTGAACCTGACGAGTCCATAATCAATTCGAATACAGGAGTGCAAATGAGCCATGTCTGATGTTAAGGGTCTGTTGTCTGGGACTGAGGATTGACTTCACAACGATCCATCCGTTTAATCTGAAGAAAAGTGAAATTCCAATTTTAGGGGCTGTTCAAAGAAGTAATCAGTCTAAAAGACCTCTGGGAGGCAATCCCATCAACTGGCTATTCAGTGACAGGCTGGCCATCTGACCTGAAGTCGTTAGGCAAACTCTTTGTTCCCAGAGGAGCACCAAGAACTGGACAAGGAAAGAATTACAGACAATGTGAGATGTGAGGTTCTCACGGTGACGGGTATGTCGGAGTTGGTCATGTAGGTAGATACCAACATTTCGGAGGAACATACTGCTTCCTTCATCAGGGATTAAGGGACAAAGGAACGTGTCGTTAGCGACGGGAAATGTTACTGGAAGAAAAGAAAGAAATATAATATCTACTGACAACTGGAAAAATGATCTGTTTATGAGGTTCTCGCGGTGGTGAATGAAACATTGAAATAAGTAACATCAAGAAAATGAAACAAATGGATTTCCATCTGGGGCCTAATGGCCTCTCGCTCTTAACGAAGTTGATAATGATGACATTCACCAGCGGACTTTCCGTTGATGCGTGCTTGCAGCTTGTAGAGGGAAACTGTCTCAGACTCTGCGAAAATCACAAACAATTCACGTATTTTATTGAAAGCGTATGAGGGTGCCGCGTAACTCAAGACTTCGAGCTGTAGTAAAGTACTTTACCGCCATGCTTCTGTAGAGACTGCACTGGAACATCTTGAATATCACGTCATATTTGACCGCAGGAATTGCAATAGCTTTCCTCTGCCTGGTAGATACATTTGCGAAATCCGAGCGAACTCAGAATGAAATGTATTGTTCCTTCTGTCTCTTTTATTCCTCTCTCTCCGTCTTCCTTCTAATTCTTCCTCCTACACCATCCCTTCGTCACGTCTCGAATCAGGCGTGCAGACTTTTCTATGGCGTTTTATCATAAAACTACCTGCAAACGTCGTATAAAATATCTCGATGGAAGAATACAGTGTTTCGCACAACGAACAGAAAAATAGCGTTATTATTATCAACCTATTATAAAAGTATACAGCGACATGTTTCGATAATGAACGAGACATCTTCAGGCTCTGTTTTTCGAGCATATAAATCTTCATGTTATTCAGCACAACACAGCCTAATGACATCGAAAGTGCTGGTCCCTTTTAAAGAACTTGGTATGTAAGGGTAACATAAAAGACTGAGAGACATCGAACATTCACTCTATATAAAACAACTGAAATGTTGTTTTAGGAATTTTGATACCGCATAGGATAACAGAAGATTCTGAACTGATTGTAGGAATCATTCCCCGGAACTAATTCCGCACTGATGGCAACTACGAGCGTAGGTGCCGTGAGTTCCTCTCCGAAGGCTTTTTACTGCGACTCGAACGGAGGAATTCGGTCAGGAGGTACCGCCCCTCCAGTCAGTTTGCCTGATGCTGCCCGCACGCCACTCCCACGTCGTAACCAGCTGGAGTACGTTTCGGAGCTTGTTCAGCGAAGGACGTGCGTCTAAAACATCGAGCTCTCTGAGCGGGAACATGTGAGCGGTGCGCCACAGCAGCCACACACGCGTAGACATAAGTGGTGGTAAAAGCTTTATATTACCTCACACACTATTTTGTCGCAAACTCTCAATTCCTTTGACACTGTTCGTGGCTTCTACAGTCTGCGGTTTAACATTGTAATCCTCACGGTTTTAAATCTTTACGTATATTTATATGATATCAGATATTATTCCGTAATTAAACACAAGAAAGGCAAAAACAGACATAGAAATCTTTATGCAAATCATCGTTCACACCGGATAATACAAAATCAAAAACATGGGGAACGCATCATCTCATCATAAAGTTGGGGGAATCGGTGGAGTTTCTGCAGGCAGTGAGAAAACAGTACGTGGGGATGTAACAGCATCTGGCAACGAACAGGCAAAGGAAGGTGACACAAAGCCGGGCTCTAAAGTGGCGGCGAATAATCATCAAGATCACCAGCAGCACCGGAAGCGTAGCAGTGTCATCGGGGGCGGGGAAAGAGAGGGCGATATCGCCGTGGTTCGCCCAGAGGAGCTCACGGAACGCCAGAAGGAACTGCTGGAAGAGACATGGAAGGAGCTGGAGGGCAACATTGCCAAGGTCGGAGTCATCACATTCATAAGGTAAGCGTAAAGATGGTTTTATTCAAAGTCCTCCAAAGCGCTACTCGGCAGATGAATTTCGGACGATGGTTGGTTTCACGTGTAAGATCGTTCTCTTGGAATCTGTCCATCGTCAGAATTATAAGATTACAAAGTTTCGGAAGCTGGATTTTGGTTCCGTCTTAAGTTAGGAAAGGGAGAACATGGAAGTAGAATCACGCTTCAGAAACGTTGCAATTTTATAAATCTACAATCTAGACGGTAAACAAAATCGAGAAGACTAATTTAACATAATTCTTTGATTATTTCAAGATAGTTTATCAGTTACTTAGAATAACTACCATCAAGCGGTGGGATGATGGAATATAATGAACGTGGAAGGATTCGCTTGTGGTAAACTGTAAGTTCATCAGTATTTAATTGAAGCGGCTAAGGAAAACCACGAAAACCCTCATGCAGTTCACCCGGTATTTAAACCAAGAAATGGATCCGAGACTTTTCGGTTAGAAAGGAAATTATGTTTATGAAAATAAAATGCATTAACTGTTCTTTAAACGTCCGATTTCCTTGATATATTTTTCAGTTCTGTGCGCAAGATTAAAACAGTTTTATTACGCACTGTTTATAGCTCCGCTCTGAATCAATGATTCAATTAATTTTCCTTGATTCAAAACCTGAACATTCTGTTTCAAGAGTACTTTGATTAGAAATGTAGAATACCCCAGATTATTCGCGTTACAAAACAATTTGTCTGTGCGAAATTGAATTTCTACTATATACATGACGTTGCCACATACTTCAATAACCATGGACAAATCACACTCTATTTGTATTCCCAAAATCCACGTTATCTGGGGTAACAAAATAATTAATAATCATTTTTGTAATGAGTCGCGGGGTAGTGGTTAGTACTTATGCATGTTCGGAAGGTGCCGGGTTCGATTCACCGACTGAGGCCTACTAATTAATACCATGAAGCAGTCATTCCTATGTAACAGCCGCTCAGCTAATCTTTAAATTTCTGTCTTCATATCGATCACTAAGTTCGCTATTCTGTTTGCATGAGACAGCCGCTGGACCCTGAATCACATGGATCCAGGTGAGATTTCAGGTACTCACGGCGACGAGTACGAAGACCACTGCCTCCTGAGATATTGCACCGTGTAGTCTGGTAGTAGTTTGTCGACGTTTCGGACGTGCTTATTCTCACCGCCCTGATGATTTTAAATTCAATGTACATCTACAAGACTACATGGCGCACCATCTCAAAAGATAGACTTTTACATTCTTATAAGCATTTTAATATTATCCTCATTCTACGTTTAGGCCTTCAAAGCTGTCTCTTCCGCCGGCTAAAATTTTATGTTCAGCTGTCATATTCACCATGCGTGCTACATGTTCCGACAACCTCATTCGCTTAATATTAAAAAGTGTTCTTGGATACACATTCGTTGTGATTGTGAAAATGCATGTCTTTACCTTAGAAAATAAGTGTCTAAATTATTATTAATTTCAATATTTACTACAGTGAACATTTCTTAAAAGTAACTATACTGTAACGTAAAAATTACTAACTAAAATGGATAACGATGAATGATGGATCGTTAAACTTAACTTGAGAAATAAGTTTCAGACATGTTATAAGCAGGTCTATTATCATGGAAGTATTTTGTTTAAGAACTCTCTATTGTTTATATAATAATAAATATTGGCTATGAAGAAGAGCATTAGGGAAAGGACAATTACTTTCATGCATCCATGATATAATAATGGAGAGGGAGCCTTTCAAAAGACGTATGCTTCTTTTAAAAATACAGTAAGCGATGTCTAATATGTCGCCATTACGATGCCAGGCCACTATCATAAAGCATTAGAACCGTACAGACAATAAGTATGCACAAAAGCTGGGAGTTACTCGGCTAAAAAAAATTCTATTTTTATGAAACCCCGAAGTTCATTATCATGTGTACAAGGGCTCACCACCTGCTCCTATCCTGAGTCAGACGAATAAAATCTGCAACCTCAGAAGCTATTTGTCTGAGCTCAGTTTTAATATTATCCTCTGAGTGGTTTCTTCCCTTCGGACTTCCCAACCAAAGTCTGAAAGTATTTTTCATCTACTCATTAGTGCTACACTCCTTACCCATCTCATCAATGGTAAACTCTCTTACAAACAAGAATCAAATCCAAGGATAATACAGAGATCATAGCAGACGAATGAAAATTAGAGTACATTCGTCTTCATAGCTGTGGGTCTTCGCACATGAAACAGAAATCAAATGACTGAAACTAGGTCACTTAAAGTGCGACAGACCGATTGAATTCTGAATAATTCTGCACCCAAATTAAATTATTTCTACTAGAATTTTGCTTCGACATCTTTAGCTGTATTAATTACATTGCGTTTCGCAGTGGGAGCTCAAGGTCTCTCGGCGATGTACAGCAATTAGCGCTCCGATTGGACCGTGCAAGGAGCTTGATTCCAGCTCTGGACTGGCTACAGAATGCTATCCTCACATCATTTACACTACGTCGAAACAACGGTAAACAGACAAGGGTAATAGATTCTCCTATTTTACTTGTTTACATAATGGCGCTGTCAATTCCTCAATATATAAAGCTGAATGACATGATGACTGGCGAGTAATGAACTAGAAAGGATATGGAAGGAAGCAACAGAGGCGTAATTTAAATTGCTACCCCAGTATTTGGCCGGAAGGGCTGAGGAAAACCACAAAAACAATCTTAGGATACCTGGTCATCGTGCGACCTTCCAAAGTACTCGGCCCAGAAGTTCGATAAGCAAAGCTAAAAGTTTCTACAACATCGTTAAATAATATGAGGGGCACAAATTCTTCCGGTATTCTCAAATGACGAATGGACTAACCAAACTGTAATTGACTTAATTTCGAAACTTCTCATGTCTGACCGGCAGGTATATTCGACTATTCCAGGCACGGCCTCTGACCAACTCTGTGTTACGGACGTTAACACTACTTACTTGCGCAGTTAATCGGACTCATACACGAACAACAGAACCTTTCGCTGGTGACTATCGCCTCTACAGTAGAATTGCGCACAGTCGCCATATTGCTACGATTTATTGCAGGAAATTAAAAAGTACATGTGTGTGTGTCTCTAGGGACGTGGTCACAACAAATCGAGAATGCAGCATACAAAACAAAAACAAATTTCTCGATTTACATTGTTCATTTACGAATAGTACAAGAAAGATGGTTAAATATTGGGTAGGAAATGTAGAACAGAGAATACACACATAATTATGTCTAACTGCCACTTGCGAAAAGTTAAATTTGCTTACAAGTGCGGTAAACGTTTGCATCTTCAAGGGTGAAGCATGCATCATCCTTTGATTCCGTAAAAGCAGGGAATTTCCTTACCAGCTGAGTGACTATTAGCTTTTCAAGAAAGAATCTGTACCATGGAGTCAGTTACACCAGTAATTATTGTTGATGAGCTGATGATACTGCTGAGTGGTATGAAGCGTTACAGAACTCACCCTAATGCTGTAATCACTCGTTAAACAATGACGAGGCGTTGCGCGTATCATTTTCTTTTTTGGAAACTAGAGATGCAACTGAAGTTTTGCGTGAAAGTACATTCTTGTGTGTTTTGATTCCTCTTTGTTTTACTCGTTTTAATTAACTCAGACAATAAAAAAACTAATGTATTTTGGATTTCACCTGCTAGACTTCATGACTGTCAAGCACATTTCTACCAGGTTTTTAAATTCCTCTACGTCACTTCCGTCACTTGTTCCAAACATCATATTCTACACAATCAACTCTGCTGCTCCTTGTAACTGGATTCCAGGCTTTAATGACGTCGGAAAAGGAAATAGCTCTTGAAGCTTCACACACACACTGACGAACAGCAAGTCTCTTTGCCTGTTCTGCTGTTCTCTCACGTGGAACAATTATAATAAAACTGAATATTTATGTGTAGTGCATATGGCAGCGTGAATAATTTACATATCGACACGAATATATAAAAAACATTGATAACATTTTAAACGCGTACGTTTTGTAATTGATATAACCAATTAAATACCTATGTACATACCTAAGTGAACGATACAGAGCAATCCTTCAACACTTGATAGTTCTCATTTCGTAAATAAATTCTCTTACTCCATAGAACCTGAAAGTTAATTGCTTTTAATATGAAATACTTCAAACTGAACATACCCTACATTTGTTCAAGGCATTCCCTTTTTCTATAAGGATCTTTCGAATAGTATTTGCCATCTACGAATAATTATCCTAAATGGTATTTACGTTTCGGGTTGTCCCAGCAAAGTTTCGTAACATTTCTCATATTCTCTTCCCCCAAGTTACATTTTAGTCCGTCTTATCATTTTGATTCAATTACTCTAACAATAAATGTACGGAGAATAAATCCTGTAATGGGTTACATTGGTTGCTGTACGAGGGTGGAGAGGGAGGGATGGGCATGGTTCAGAGCGGGTATTTGGAAGCTGAGAGGGATGAGGGGGGGCATGGATGAAAAAATATGCCCTTTATGTGGGGCGACAGAAAGCGAGATTCACATACTATTAAAGTGTACGGAAACCGGGAGGTGGAGGGAACAGCTCCTGAGGAACAAGTGGTTCACCGTTGGTGAAGAGTTGGCCTTCAAGAAAATTTTAAGCACTACGAATGACACGGAGGTCAGGGATGTAG